AAAAAAAAAAAAATAGCCAGGCATTGTGGCAGGCACCTGTAGTCCCAGCTACTTGGGAGGCTAAGGCAAGAGAATCACTTAAGCCCAAGCGTTTGAGGTTGCTGTGAGCTATGACATCACAGCACTCTACCCAGGGTGACAGCTGGAGACTCTGTCTCAAAAAAAAAAAAATAGGCCATTCTAATAGTTTTATATCATAAAATTCTTTCCATGTCATCAAATTTCTTTGGCTACATAGAACCATAGTTGTATTGTCACACAACTAATTCTAAATTATAAGACATTTTGGTAGTTTCCAGTTATTTTCTATAATAAAACAATTAATAGTGAACATCTTTGATTTATTTTCTTAAGAATACCTAAAACCACACTGATATTGTCAAATTCTTTCAAATATGTCATAGCTACATATTTACATTTCTATCACTTAAGTCTATATCCTGCATATTTTCATTGTTTATTTTTACCATCTTATAGCAAAACATAGTATCTTAGTGTTGTAACCAACATTTATTTGATAACTAATGAAAATAAATAGTTCTAATATGCCTATTACAAATATTTCTCATTATTTGAATCTATTTCTTAGTTTAGATATTGAAGCATTTAGATACCACATTCAGAGAACCAATGATATTATGTCTAATCGACTAGGTCCTTGAGTTTCAGGTACTGTTGAAGATTGAACTGTGTTCCCCAAAACAATATCCTGACATCCTTGTGACCTTTATTGCAAATGTAACCAAGTTAAGAGGAGGATTAATTTGGATCATGACAAGCCCTAAATCCAATGACTGACATACTTACAAGGAAAGAGATTTAGAGACACTGACACACAGAAACAATGTCATGTGTCTATGGAGACAGAGATGGAAGTGATATGTCTACAAGCCAAGCAACATCAAAGATTGCTAGAAACCACCAAAAGCTAGGAAGAGATAAGAAAGGATCCTTTCAGGGTGGCGCCTGTGGCTCCGTGGGTAGGGCACCGGCCCCATATACCAAGGGTGACGGGTTCAAACCCAGCTCAGGCCAGCTAAAACAGCAGTGGCAACTGCAACAAAAATAGCTGGGCATTGTTCCAGGTGTCTGTAGTCCCAGCAACTCGGGAGGCTGAGGCAAGAGAATTGCCCTAGCCCAAGAGCCGGAGATTGCTGTGAGCTGTGATGCCACAGCACTCTACCAAGGGCGACAAAGTGAGACTGTCTCAAAAAAAAGAAAGGATCCTTTTGGGCTGTGGTTCAGTGGATAGGGAGTCGGTCCCCGTATACTGAGGGTGGTGGCTTCAAACCCAGCCCTGGCCAAACTGCAACAAAAAAATAGCCAAGTGTTATGGTGGGCACCTATAGTCCCAGCTGCTTGGGAGGCTGAAGCAAGAGAATCACCTAAGCCCAGCAGTTGGAAGTTGCCGTGACCTATGACGCCACAGCACTCTTCCAAGGGTAATAAGGTGAGACTGTCTCTAAAAATAAAAATAAAAAATAAAGGAAGAAAGGATCCTCTCTTAGACCCTTCAGAGGAAGCATAGCCCTGCTCTCACCTTTATTTCAGACTTCCAATCTCCAGAACTATGAGAGAATAAATTTCTAATATTTCAAATTGCCTAATTTATGGTACTTGCTACTGTAACCCTAGGAAATTGATACAGATTTCAAGCAAGAATTCAGATAGGGAAGGATTAATTAATTTACCGGGATATATTTGATTTTGAGTTTAGTGAGAATTCAGATAGTGAGGCATAACTGTATTTCTATTTTTCTTTCTTAATTACCTACTCATGTCCATTGCCTATTCATGTTTTTTTATTTTTGTTGATTTTTAAGATTTTTTAATATATTCCATAGATATAAATATATATATTCTGAAACAGAGTCTCAATCTGTTGCCCTAGGCTAGAGTGCCATGGCATCTAGCTCATAGCAACTTCAAATTCTTGGGCTCAAGTGATACTCTTGCCTTACCCTCCTGAGTAGCTGGGACTATAGGCACCAGCCACAATGTCCACCTAGTCTTCAAATCCTGAACTTGAGCAATCCACTGGCCTGAGCCTCTCAGAGTGCTAGGATTACAGGAGTGAGCCACTACCCTGGTCAATAGATACAGATATTAACCCTTATCATTTATGACTATTTCTTCCAAGCTTATTTTAATATGTAATTCATTTTAGTTTGCTAATTATTTCATAACTATAGGTTTTGTTTTTTGTTTTTGTTTTAGCAACTGGTCATCAATTTATTAAAACAATTGAAAAGCATCTGTGATGGTAACTTCAACCTCAACTCATGGCTCACTACTAAGGGTCAATGAGCCACTTGTGGATTCTCAACTAGAAAAGAGCCCAAGTCTTAGAACCTTCACTACAGAGAGTTTTTCTGGTGATTTCCATAGTCTTGGTAGGTATCCGAACTGGTTCTTTCACTTAGAAATTCTTCTCCTTTGTACCTCTGATCAAGTCAGCACACATCTTCTCCAGGCACTTGACGATGCAGCTCTTAAGAGTAATTCTAATTCAGTGAATCGCCACCTCTGGTTCCACAGATGTTTTTCCAGTATATTTTAAAGCCGTGGCAGTGGCATGGCTTCTTGACTGACTTGTTCCTCAGTGAGAGTGAATACTGTTGAGTCAGGAGCAGAAGCAAGCATAACAGCTCCCGCAGAACCTGTGACCATAGGTTTTATCTTCCCAACTAAAGAGAGTTTACTTATAGAACACTTAGCACATACTACATGCTTAATAAACATATGTTTATAACAACTTGATTCATAATCATCAAAAACTGGAAACCATCCAAATGTCTTTCAATTGATGAATGGACAGCCAAACTGTGGTATATCCATTCAATGAAATACTATTCAGAGATAACAAGGAATGAACTACTGATACATACAACATAGATGAATCTCAAATGTGTTATATTAATTGAAAGAAGCCAGAAGGAAAAGGCTGTATGATTTTATTTATATGAGAATGTGGAAAAGGCAAAACTATAGAGACAGAAAATAGTTTAGTGGTTGCCAGGCGAGAGGAAAGGGTTTACTATAGAGGGATACAAGAAAATTTTTGGAGATGATGAAAATGTTCCATATTTTGATTAGAGGTGGTTATATGACTAAATGCATGTGTCAAAACTCATAGAACAATACCCTAAAAGGGTGAAATTTACTATAAGTAAATTAACTGCAAAAAACCTAACTTTAAAAATGTACCATTTTAGTATTATTGAGTTATGTTTAAAAACCAAACTGTACATACCTCATAGATAAATGGGTCTTTACAGATTCCTTTCTTTTCTTCATTAAATTCCCTAAAATTTAGAACCACATGTGAGAAACAGAACTACAGTATCTCTTCTGTTATTCAAACTTAGGACTTTGCCATTACTTTATTTCTGCAGGACATCTGTGAGGAAAGAAAAAGTAGCTTTTGGCAGTTCTAAGTTGGGGAGAAAGGGGAAAAAAGCAGAAAAAGAGGATTAATTCAAGAAAAGAGAAAAAAAAACTTGTGATAGAGATTAATAAACTGCTGCCCACAATTAGGTACAATTGCTTCTCGTAGGCAGCAAAAAGACAGATCGCTTACCTCTACTCTTGTGTATTTTCAAACACATTTCCAATCAATATTAAAATGTAATTTACTGGGCCAGGCAAGGTGGCTCTCACCTGTAATCCTAGCATTCTGGGAGGCCGAGGCCAGTGGACTACCTGAGCTCACAGGTTCAAGACCAGCCTGAGCCAGAGCAAGATCTTGCCTCTAAAACTACCAGGGCATTATGGCAGGAACCCGTAGTCCCAGTTACTCAGGAGGCTGAAGCAAGAGAATCACTTGAGCCCAAGAGTTCGAGGTTGCTGTGAGCTATGACATCACAGCACTCTACCGAGGGTGACAAAATGAGACTGTCTCAAAAAAAAAAAAAATGTAATTTACCACATGAAATTGGGGAAATAAAAATGGATTCTGACCACTGACCATTCTGAATCAGTGGGTAACCACAAAGAAGTTACCTGACGTCAGTCGCAGGCCTTAAAATTTCTATGGCTAAAGTGGAAGTATCTATCTTCCTTCCATTTTTATGAGCTGTTACTAAAAATTAGTAAATGTGACCTGGCACAGTGGCTCACATCTATAATCCTAGCACTCTAGGAGGTCAGAGCAGGAGCTCAAGAGTTCTAGACCAGCTTGAGGAAGAGAGAGACCCCAGCTCTACTAAAAATAGAAAAAACTAGCCATTTGTTGTGACAGGCACCTGTAGTCACAGCGACTCAAGAAGATGAGGCAAGAGGATCGCCTTGAGCCTAGAAGTTTGAGGTTGTTGTTAGCTATGATGATGCCACAGTACCATATCCAGGGAAAAAAATGTAAGCACAAAATTCCAGGATATCATTTAATAATTATTGTTCAATTCAGAAAAAGTTTTTATGAGACCCTGTCTCTACAAAAATTAGAAAAATTAGCCAACTATGGGGCCTATAGTCCCAGCTCTTTAGAAGGCTAAGTCAAGATTACTTGAGCCTAGGAGTTTGAGGTTGCAATAAGCTGTGATGACACCACTGCACTCTAGTCCATGTGACAGAGCAAAACTCTGTCACACACCAAAAAAGTCATAAAATAACAATTCTAAAGCATGTAAACTATAAACCACTAACATACCAAGATGTACATCAACCTGATTCACACTCTGAAACAAAGTCAATGAAGGAGCCCAATGGAATTGTTTCAGGATATCATTTATATCTATTTGAGCTAATACTATATGACTTACTAAAATAGAAACAGGAGAGCTAGCCCTGTGACTGATTCACTTTTGCCATATCATGCAAAGATGCTACTTAATCAGTCATTCAAAAACTATTTCTCAAACATGTGTAACATAGGTCAGGCTAGATGCTGAGATATCAAACAAACAGCCTTGCCCCTGGTTCATAATCTTAACTGAAGTCAAAAAAGTAAACCAATCATTACAGGGTGATGAGAGCTCAGACAGAGGGACATTTAGGAAGCTGTGGCAGAGATTTAACTGCAGGGCTTGAACTTTATTCTGAAAGCCAAGATATTTTAAGTAGAGCCAACACAGTGGCAAGTGCCTATAGTCCCAGCTACTCAGGAGAGTGAGAAGGGAGGATCCTTAGAGCCCAGAAGTTCATGGCCAGGCTGTGCAACATAGTGAGACTCCATCTCTTAAAGTAAAATAAAATAAAATAAAAACATTTTAAATGGGAAAATAGCTGCAAATAATTGGTAGCACTTCAGAGAAGAGATAATGGCCTGAACGAAAACAGTACAGATGGAGAAATAATAAGAGAACTGAGTAGAGGAGGTGGGGGTAGGAGTGGAGGAAAGGAGAAAGAAACAGGGGTCTTGGGTTTAGAACTCATAACTTAGAGACAGAATTCAGGAGTAGAATGTCAAATTAGTGGAAAGACTGATTCAGTTTTTGTGGGGTTTTTTTGAGACAGAGTCTCAAGCTGCATCCTGGGTAGAGAGCCATGGCCTCATAGCTCACAGCAACCTCCAACTTTTGGGCTCAGGTGATCCTCTGGTCTCAGTTTTTCTATTTTTTGTAGAGATGGTGTCGCTTTTGCTCAGGCTGGTCTCAAGCTTGTGATTTCAAGCAATCCACCCACCTCAGCCTCCCAGAGTGCTAGGATTACAGGTGTGAGCCACTATGCCTGGCCAGATTGATTCAGTTTTGCATGTAAACCATTGACTTTGAGATACCACATGAAAATTTCTAGTAGTCATCTGGACACACAAGCACTATGAGAGATGCAAGAGAAGTAAAAAGCATAAACTTTAGGTGCTTACAAGTGAAAAGAAAGGCTACCATCAGTTATGTCACTGGGAAGTATAAAAATCTAAATAAAGTTAGAGGACTGGTTAAATAAATATACGACAGCCACAGAATGAAATAACATGTAACAGTTTAAAAAAATATTAGATCTACAGGTTATAGTGTGGAAAGATATCTAAGATGCGGGTTTTTGTTTTCTCTCCCGTTTTAAAGAGCGGTGGCTCACGCCTGTAATCCCTGTAGTCTGGGAGACCTAAGTGGGCGGATCGCCCTAAGCGCCTGTAGTCCCTACTACCAGGGAGTCTGAGGCAAGAGAATCGCTTGAGCCCAAGAGTCTGAGGTTGCTGTGAGCTATGATTCCGTGGCTCTCTCAAAGTGAAACTTTGTCTCAAAAAAAAAAAATTTTTTTTTACAAGCATTACCACTTTTGAAAGCAGAGCAAAGAAACAATAAAGATAACTTAAATACAATGGGTTAGATTGATGTAGTAGTTCTCAAAGTGTGCAGCCTGGCCAGCATTATCTGTTTCACCTAGAATCTGTCAGAAAGGCAAATTCTTTGCCTCCACTCCAGACCTACCAAATCAGAAACCGAGGAGGCGAAGCTCAGCAGTTTGTGTTTTGACAACCCTCTAGGTGATTCTCATGCACGCTCTTATTTGAGAACCAGGGATTCCATGTTTACATTGAACTTGATGGAATCTCCTGCGTAGTATTACTTCACTATAAGAATAAAATGAAGTCTTGGGGCACAGTGAAATAAAAAGTTTTAAAACCCAACACGCCATGCCACTATCATTACAAGGGTGGCTCAGAGAGTCACTGTCTTGACTAGACTAGAAATAACAGTATCTCACTTTTGGGAGACAGCAAGGCTTTAAACAGGTGTAGGGAGGAACATCTAGTTTTCCACATCCTGAGAGATGCCTCTACTGATGACAAGCGTGTGCAACGGCAGACACCTTCGGAACACTTGTCACCTTCCGCTGTGCCGGATAACGTACAGATATTGTCTCCTGAGACTACACAGGGGCTGGGAGAGACAGCCGGCCTTTCCCCAACTCCTGGGCGCCGGCAAAACGCTAATCCCCAAATGCGGCAAAACACCCGCGGCGGAGATCGAGAATACTCAGATAAAGAAAGAAATGCTGTCCCCGGACCCCAGGCAAGAGTAGGGATTATAACTCACTGCAGTAGGCGCGAGTAAAACTCCTCGGCCGCTCGGTTCACTTTGTCCCACATACTGTCCCAATCTCAGAGAGATCCTGGAACCGCCAAACTGAACCGCGCGCCGGGCTAACGACGTCCGGGGTCATAACCCCGCCTCGCCGGAACTACTTTTACCTCCAACCAGTCTCATTTGTCAGCAAATTTAAACTTTTGTTTTAGACCACCCAGAAATATTCACAGTGCCAATAGTCTTCCAGCTGTAACAGAAAAAAATTAAATAAGTGTAGAAGCTGTTGAAGAGAGACACTTTGTCTCGCGAGTACTGGTCACACCCCCTTACGGATCATTCCACGAAAAGGAGTCCCTCTTTTCTAAGAACTATTATTGGCTTTGGGAGACAATAGATACGGTAATTTGACAGGCATAAAGAAGTGATACACTATTCTTTGTTTTTGTAGTGTGGCAGAGAGATATTTGTGTCTGCGGTGGTTCTGAGGCGGGCAGAGTGGGAGGGGAGGAGTTGAAGGTTACATATACAGCAAGAGTGATAAGCACTTCCTTTTCCTGTAGGAGCCACCGGGTGGAGAGGAGCGTGGCCTTCTCCCTCTCCCCGACATGGTGAGTGCAGGGTCTCTCGGGTGGACTTTCCGTTGGTCTTGGGGCCAGTAGGGAAGGGTTGGAGGTTCGGGACATATAGCCTGGAGGAGTTCAAGCGAGGAGGATGGAGATGAGGACCAAAGGCGTCTTTTTCTGGTCGGGAACCGGGTTGTGCGGTGTTACGGCAGCCATCTTAGAAGCAACGTGGGAGTCCGGGTCCACGGAGCTCCGGGAAGCAGCACTAGGCAACACTGGATCATTCGCAGATGCGGGAGAGCCTGTACTAGAGCCTTCCCTGCACCCTACCAAATGTTCTGCTGAAATATTTGCAGTCCTTTGGGGCTTAAGCGAATTGAAGAAAGGAATCAATTTGGGGCCTTGGTCTTCATGTGCTGTTTAAAAATGTGTATGTCCGTCTTTCAAGAGAGGGATTTGTTAAGAGAAAATAAACACTTCCCTTTCTACTTTTTCCTGAGTACTCAGCTATGTTCAGGTTAAAAATGATCTCTACGAAAGTTACGTCTTTGCTAAAGTATTCTATTTGGTGTCATCTAGATCTTCAGCTAGCTAATGGTCATGGTATCACATACATTGCTTTGCCACAAGTAGCTATATTGTGTTTTGTGCCTGGGCAGAAGAACGAACAAATCACAAAGTAACCCTTAAGATATTTGGATTGTAGTGAAGTTGGACTAAATGAATAGTAGCGTTCTGTGGTAATAATTGCTGTGGACAATCAAAAATTTGAGTGGTTTGACCTCAGAAAGTTTAGGAAGTGGCCTGAAGGTGAGGACTTGTGAGAAGAGAAGCTTTAAGGTGAAAACCTGCCAACTCTTAGGCATGAGGGAACAAGGGAGTATGAAAGATGAAATCGAAGAGGAGAGCAGATTTGTGTAGGTCATCGTTGGGAAGTCTTTTAGAGTTGACCAAAAAATAACCAGTGTTTTGAAACACGTTTAGAAGAGGGTAAGGACAGGGATGTAAGCTTGGATGCATACAGCCTTGGTAGAAAAGATGGGCAACTTTTATGACAAAGCATTCATTGAAAACAATGAAAATAGTGTGATAGCCTGAGAGTCTAGGTGTTCTTTGAGTGTAAGGTGTAAGTAAGTTGTCTACCCCATTATGCTAGTCTTTTCTATAACTGAGCATTTAATGGTATGGTTGGCAGATGGGAGGAGTTTGCCTCTAATATTAAATATCCTTTTTTTCTTTCCCAAGGCTTGTGCCCGTCCACTGATAACAGTGTACTCTGAAAAGGGGGAGTCATCTGGCAAAAATGTCACTTTGCCTGCTGTCTTCAAGGCTCCCATTCGACCAGATATTGTGAACTTTGTTCACACCAACTTGCGTAAAAACAACAGACAGCCATATGCTGTCAGTGAATTAGCAGGTAAGGGTTTATGTCTTTGTACAAGTTGATAGTTTCAGGGGCTGTTTTACAGTAGTGATGAAATTGCACTTCATTGGTCCGTGTTTCTGAACCACATGATTTTCTTGGATGTTCTGATGCTGTTTACTGCTGTGTATAATTATCATAGGTTGGTATGATAAGTGAGCTAAAAGTCTTATTTCTTTACAATTTTAGGTCACCAGACCAGTGCTGAGTCATGGGGTACTGGCAGAGCTGTGGCAAGGATTCCCAGAGTTCGAGGTGGTGGGACTCACCGTTCTGGCCAGGGTGCTTTTGGAAACGTATCCTTGTTTCCTGAGATTAGTTGTCCCATGGAATTTAGCAAGCTAGTTTATCCATGTTAATATAGTTTATACTGAAAGTGTCCCAGTTACGAGATTGGGAATCTGAATGATGTTTATTTTTTTAATCTTGAGGTTGTTCTTATTTATTTATTTGTTTATTTTTGTTTTTGAGACAAAGAGTCTCACTGTGTTGCCCTCAGCAGGGTGCCATGGTATCATAGCAACCTCCAACTCTTGGGCTTAAGCGATTCTCTTGCTTTAGCCTCCCAAGTAGCTGGGACCACAGGCGCCCACCACAATGCCTGGCTATTTTTTGTTGTTGAAGTTGTCATTGCTGTTTAGCTGGCCAGGCCCAGGCCAGGTTCAAACAACCCACCAGCCTGGGTGTATGTGGCCGCCGTCCTATCTTGAACTTCCTCTTAAAGGCAGTCAGTTTTTTTTTTGTTTTTTGTTTTTTTTTGAGACAGAACCTCAAGCTGTCCCCCTGAGTAGAGTGCCGTGGCATTATAGCTCACAGCAACCTCCAACTCCTGGGCTCAAGCGAGTCTCCTGCCTCCGCCTCCCAAGTAGCTGGGACCACAGGCACCCACCACAACGCCTGGC